AAGAGAGAGAGAGGGAGAGAGGGAGAGAGAGAGAGAGGGAGAGAGAGAGAGAGAGAGAGAGAGAGAGAGAGAGAGAGAGAGAGAGAGAGAGAGAGAGAGAGAGAGAGAGAGAGAGGGTATAAAATGAAGATATACATGTACATGTACATACCATTTGTCTGATAAAGGTGATTGCTTGTTTTATATTCTTCTCACAGAATGTCTTCATTATTAAACTGATACCAACACTACTCAAACTACTAATTGTTACTTCATCAGTGTGGGTGTGGCTCTAAGTAGGTGGAGTCAATAAACAATACAATAATAAGGTGTTTAATGTACGGTTTCATCTTGTGGGTGTGGTGACTCCTCCCCCTTTAACGACCTATGAATGAGGTAGGATTGACCTAGGGGTACGTTACCAGTTACTAATGATCGCTGGATTACTGTCTAAAAATAGAAGTAGTAAATATATTAATTTTTAGTGATTTAATTTTACTTCAGTGGAGGTGTGGTCCCAGGATTCTTTCCTCACCATTACATGTAAGAGACGGTCAAACTCCGCCCCTTCCTCCTCCCCCTTCCTCTTAGGGTCACTGATCAGTGTGTTACCTTTAGGAAGGTACTCCCTAAGACTGTGAATGTGGGACGTTATTTCACTGGAAGATATAAACCCAGTCCCAGGGTTTTTAAAAGAGGGTTCCAAGCATGATGAGTCCTCGCTAGCCTGGCTCTCACTCCGCCCGAGGGACGTCACTTCTGGTTCATTGGTTCCTGAGGGTTTGGTTCCTATTCTGCTGGTATTGGAATGAGTTTTAATGAATCTTAAAAGGAAGTTGAGTGTCATTCGTAGAAGTTGACCAGCAAATTGTTGATTATGTTCACTGGTGTGGTTACGTCTAAAGATAAATAAATAAATAAATAATAATAAATTATCAACTTAGTATTAATGTATTATTGTATTGGAAGTTTGGCTCTACCAATTGTACAGTTTTTTCTTTAATTTTAGTTAACTGACCATTAACTAAATTAACTAAACACAATTGATGTACATGTACATGAATAAATTACTAAAAAATTACTAATGAATCACTAAAAAATTACTAATAAATTACTAATAATTTACTTTATTATTGATGAGAGAAGGTTAACAGCTGCATCCAGTTGATCAGGAGGAATGGGAGGAGGAGAAGGTAAGGACTCACTGCTGCTCTTCCTCTTGTCACTTCCATAACTATCATCTATTAATAGTAACAAACATTACCAACACACATTAATATTAATAGTAACACGGAGACACAATGTAAATGTAGCATTAATTCAAAATAGTAATTAAATAAGATGATTTCATTGCTAATTCTTGGTAAAAGCATAACAACTGAACTGCTTTAGCATAAAATTTTCAAATTCAAATTTTTCAAATTTTTGTCAGTCAAAAACTACATCAAATTCATCAAGAATTTTGTTTGATGAAATTTTAACGTACAAAATTTTTGCTCCACGTGGTTAGTATACAAATTTATAATAAATATGATAAAAATTTTATCGACCAAAATTAATTTTAACAAGAGATTAAGACTGTGAAAAAATTTTTGACAGACAAAAATTAGGAGCTATACTATACAGTAAATTATTTTCCATTTTCTCTCATAATGATATTCATAATGTGTGTTTAGTGTACTGAATTCCTGATGTGTGGGCGGGTATCAATGAATCTAATTAACTGATCACAAGATGTCCTTAGAGGACGAGTGTTGGACTGTGTTTGAGAGAGGAGATCATGAAGAAGCTGTTCGCTTACTACCATTAGTGGAGGAACCGAATAAAATTAAAAGAGGATATTATGTATGGAATTATACTAGTTTACTTCATTTGTCTTCAAGGCATGGCTGGTTAGATGTTACAAAAGATCTCATCACTAAATATCACTGTGACCCACACGAAAGAGATGATGATGATTGGACTTGTCTTCATTATGCTACAGAAGGTAATCATGTTGATGTGATGAGATATCTCATTGATGAGGGCCACTGTGATCCAATGGCTACTAACAATAGTGGTGAGACTGTTCTTCACTGTGCTGCTAGACACATTGATAGTGTAAAGTATCTCATTAATGAGTGTCACTGTGATCCAATGGCTACTAACAATAGTGGTGAGACTGTTCTTCACTGTGCTGCTAGACACATTGATATTGTAAAGTATCTCATTAATGAGTGTCACTGTGATCCAATGGCTACTGACTCTAACAACAGGACAGTTCTTCATGAAGCAGCTCGTAGGAACTCACCTGATGTAATCAAATATCTAATCAATGAGTGGAACCATGATCCAATGACTGTTGACAGGTTGGGGCGGACACCTCTTCACCTTGCTGCTGCTCTTTGGAGTAATTCTGCAGCTGTTGAGCATTTACTATCAACTGGTAAATGTGATCCATTGGCTAAAGACAATGACGGGAGAACACCATTTACACTAGCTAAGAAGAGAGGTGACACTGATACTCTTTCTGTCATGAAGAAGTTTGGTGGTATAAAATCATCTCATCCAATTGATTCTTATGTTAACGTCCTCCTTGTGGGTAATCCTGGAGCTGGTAAAAGTACTCTTAGTCATGTCATCAATGACACAGCTACTGGTTCTATTGTTCTTGGTTCATTTAGAAATGTTGGAGGGGTAGTGCCCTGTACTGCTGGTATCATTCCTTATAAACTACAACACAGGACACTCGGTAACATCATTCTTCATGATTTTGCTGGTCATTCAGAATACTACTCCAGTCACAGTGCTGTCATTGAGAATCTCTTACAAGGTTCTGGTGGTGTGTTCCTGATAGTAGTCAATATATTGGAGAAGGAACCAGTCAAACAGCTTCATCAGTGGCTAACAGTTGTCACAAATGAAGCACACAAAGCTCTTAATCAATGCCATGTTATTGTAATAGTCAGTCATGTGGATGAGATAAGTAATCCTGTTGAAAGGAGAAGGAGAAAGGAAGAAACACAGGAGATTATTGTAAAGGAAAGGTGTGATAGTGTCTTCTTAGATTGTCGTAAGCTTGGTGGGAGTGGTGTGGATTCCTTCTTTGATAAGTTGTCTAGTGCCTGTGAGTCCATTCGTAGTACAAGTGGAAGGAATTTGAGTCTTTATTGTCACATGATGTATGGTCTACTGGAGGAAAGGAAAGAGAATATACTGACCCTCTCTGATGTAATGTCTGCTGGTAAGGACAATGATGATTACTTTGTACCAGATAAAAGAGAAGACGTCTTGGATGTTCTTGATTTGTTGCACTCAACTGGTTTGATCAGTGTTCTTAAAAGTGAAGACAAGGTATGGGTTGTTGTGAATAAGGGTATACTACTAACTGAGGTGGATGGGATTCTCTTTGCTCCAGAGACATTCAAAGAACATGTTGACATTGCTAGCAATACTGGTATTGTTAGTGTGTCTGGTCTGACTAGACTCTTCCCTAAACATGATCCTGACATGTTGATTCGTTTTCTGAAGAACATGGAACTCTGTCAAGAAATTAATCCATCTTTCCTAAGAATGACAAACCTCCATC